AGAAGATGGGAAATCAAATCTTCTGCAATTTACTGTCTTTGAAAACCCACTGGAAGGTTAGCTGTAAGTCAGTTATGATGTAACAGTACGTAACAACAACTATATATTGTTGTTGTAAGCTACCATCAAGTCAAGTGTGACTCATAGTGACCCCATGATCAACAGACCTGAACCTTGCCCTATCCTGTGCCATCTTTATAATCTCTGACACACTAGAATCTATTGTAGAAGACAATATACCAATCCTCTCATTGAGGATCTTCCTTTCATTTACTGACCCTTCATCTTTCCAAGCATTATGTGCCTTTCCACGAAAACCCTCACCTGGCCAAAGTATGAATATGAAGATTTGCCATATTTCCCTCCAGGGACACCCGAGCTGCACTTCCTCTAAAACATATATGTTTGTTCTTTTGGCAGTCCATGGGATATTCAGTACTCTTCTCTAGCATTACAGCTCAAAGACATCAGTTGTTCTTCTGCCATCCTTATTCATTGTCCAGCTCTCTTCTGCATAACAGGTGACTGAGAAGGCCATGGCCTGAACAGGCACACCTTAGTCTTCAAACTGACATCATTGGTCTTTGGTGTTTTAGAGAAGTCCCTGACAGCAGACTTGCCCAATGAATATCTCTCCTGGTTTTCTGACTGCTGGAAGGGTATTGATTGTTGATATAAGCAAGAGTAAATCTTTTCTTCATATTTCATAATGTTGAATATGTCTATTTGTCCTTTACTGACTATGCAAATACACTTGACTGTGCGGACCATAGTACATTGTAGCTGACATTGGGAAGAATGGGAGTCCCAGAACACTTGTGCTCATACAGAACCTATACCAGGACCAGAAGGCTGTTGTACAAGTGGAGCAGGGGAGCACTGCCTGGTTCAGAGTTAGAAAGAGAGTGTGCCAGGGTTGTATTCTTTCTCCATACTTATATCTATATGCTGAGCAAGTTATCCAACAATGGCTGGACTCTATGAGGAGGAATGTGTCATCAGGAATGGAGGGAGACTCATCAATTACCTGCATTATGCAGATGACACAACTTTACTTGCTAAAAGTGTGGAGGACTTAAAGCACTTGTTGCAGAAGATCAAGGAATGTACCCCTCATTATGGATTGCATCTCAATGTCAAGAAAACAAAGATTCTTACCACTGAACCAATAGGGAGCATCATGATGGACGGAGAGGAGATTGAAACTGTCAGCAGCTTCATCTTGCTTGGATCCACAATTAACACCCTTGGTAAGAGCAGTTAGGAAATAAGGAGATACATTGCACTGGGACAATCTGCAGTTAGGGACCTTTCCAAATTATTGAGGAGTAATTAAGTCATTTTGAGGACTAAGGTGCATCTAATCCAGGCCATAGTCTTTTCAGTCACTTGATATGTATTTGAGACCTGAGCAATGAATAAAGATGACAGGAAAATAATTGATGCCTTTGAGCGGTTGTGTCGGAGAAGAGCACTGAACATCACATGGACAGCCAAAAGAACAAACAGGTAAGTCTTGGAGCGGGTGCAGCTGGAGTGCTCATTGGAGTACTCATATACTTTAGGCATTTTGCTAGGAGGGGCTATTCCTTGGAGAAGAACATGATGCTGGGAAGGGTGCAGGGTCAGAGAAGGAGAGGAAGACCCTCAACCAGGTGGACTGAGACGGTGACTGCTTCAGTGGGCTCTTGTGTGTCAGGAAGTGTGATGATGATGATGCAGGATGATGATGCAGGGTTAAGGTCTTTTGTTCATAGGGTCCCTATGAGTTGTACTCGACTCAGTGGCACCTAACAACAACAACAAACATATTAAAATATGTTTTAACACAATATTTTATTATAATAGCTAATTTGAGTTTAAGCACACACACAAAAAAAATAAAATAAAATAAAATGTGAGGATGTCACAGGACCAGGCAAGGTTTTGATTTGTTGTACTTAGGATTTCTGTGAGTAGAAGATGACTTGTAGGCACTTAGTAATAGCAGTTCTAATCTTATGTTTAAGCTCAATACAATTGAAAAGAAATAGCTTTTGAAATAAATAGATGTACACAAATGTTCATATTCAGACTATTTATAATAGCCAAATACTTAGAATATATATTGTTGTTGTTAAGTGTCGTCAAATTGTAGATGACTCATAGCAACCCTATGAACCAAAGTCCTGAAAACATACAACTTTGATTGTTTCTCTAAGTTCATAGAGTTTCTGGAGCCAAGCTATTTCAGAAGTGGATACTTCAAAGCCTGTTTTAATTTGAGAGCGCCACCAAACACTGTCCACCATGGGTAACCATTATTGCGTTTGGCACATCAGTGTCACAGTGTTTGCCATTACAGCAACCACAAGTTACCTATGTATAGCAAATTGCCAGACCAGTGTTATCCAACTTAGAAGAATGACGGCCTTTTAAAATATGAGGAAAAATCCAGTAAGCTCATACCCAATTGCAAGCAACAGTTCCACTCAAGCCTCAATCAAAACAGAAAACACACCTTTGTAGAATCTAGCTGCTCTACTCATCTTCCTGAACTGGAAAGCAGACACAAACTGGCCACCAAATGATGAGGCCAAATCCAATCAGCTCACACCCAATTAATTGCAAACAACAGACCACACCCAAGCCTCAACCAAAACAGAAAACATACCTTTATAGAATCCAGCTGCTTCACTCATCTTCCCAAAATGGAGTAATATTTAGCTATCAGAAGTAATGATACATGCCACAATGTGGATAAATGTAAAAATATTATATTAAGTGAAATATGCCAGATATTTTATAGTTTTGCTTATCTGAAATGGCCAATGTTCTTTTATTCATAAGTCCATTATTTCAGTAATGGATGGTGTCCTGTCCTGCTTCCTAGTCTATCTAGTCTAGAAGTTTTTTAGAAACCTGTCCACAGTGAGTTCTCATGATGGTATTTTTAAATGCCAGTAAATGACATATCTTCCAGCAGCACTGCAACACACTAGCCACCACTAGTACCACAGACTGACTAGATGAGTGACAGTAGAGTTTACCAGAAAGATATGTACTTGTGTTTTACTGACTATGCACAGGCATTTGAATGTGTGGATCATAATAGATTATGTTGTTGTTGTTGTTGTTGTTGTTGTTGTTGTTATGTGCCATCAAGTCACTTGCAACTCATAGCGATCCTATGTACAACAGCCCTAAAATCTACTCTGTCCTGTGCCAATCACACTGTCTCTGACACACCATCGCAATTACCACAGTCACTGAATCAATCCACCTTATAGAGGGCCTTCCCCTCCTGCACTGTCCCTCCACCCTACCTAGCATGATATCCCTCTCCAAGGACCTGTCCCTCCT